TGACCAACAGAATATTAACCATCTATATTAATAAAGAAGCTTACTCAATATAGTCACAGCTATGATTTATATTATCATTATCACCAATATAATCAATGATGTAATTGTATATGTTTGGTAGCTTCCAATACATATATTTTTTTTACTTCAGCTTCTAGGTACCTTTCCACTAATTTGTTATAGATTTTTGTGATGAAGATGATGTCTTTGTGCAGCTCAAAATAATCATGATCTTTTTTATCATTCATTATTTGTATAAATATAAAACTTTCTTTGATTCTCATTATTTCCATCATTTTGATAAGTACTTATTAATTGACAATTTTTTTTGTATGGATGTGGTTGTGAAAATGTAACAGAATCAAAATGTTTTTCGACTTCAATTATCTTCCATCCATGCAAATTAATTTGTGCTAATATATAAAAATTGTTATAAAATTTCTCATTTTCACTAATAGTGTAATTGTATTTGATTATGAATTCTTTCCGGGTGCAGCAAAGAACACCTGAAGAATTTTTTTTAAAAAAGTTTATTTATAAGGAACTAGAATAGCTCTAAGCTCATATATATATATAATGAAGATGAGTTGCAACGATCACAATGACCAACACCATTCTTTTAATAATAATTAGAGTGACGCCGAATGGCGATAACCACTATTCGAATCGTAAATATCAATCAAATGCATTTCTTAATCTTTTGGAAAAAGAATCATTGTTATCTAGCAAAAGACAACAACAACAACAACAATATCAATATCAAGCCTCTTCTGCTGCTGCTTACATGATTCCTGAACGCATGGCAACTTCTCATCATCCTTCTAAAATTTATTCCGTCGTTGATGAATTATCTTTAGATGATATCTCAAAAGCTCTGAAAAGTATTTTAAAAATCGGCGGTCAATAATAACTTTATTAATATATAATAATTTTGAATCATGTCAAGTAATTTATGGATATAATATCAATTGGAAATTGCCTAATTAAATTGTAGTTCTTTATTAATTCAAATAAAAGTTTTGACGGTTACGATTAAAATAATTAATTATTTAGCATTTTTTAGACTTTTTGACACTTCACTTCTTTTTTAA